AATCATCATAAGCAAAATCATTTCTTGCTTTAATTTTGCCTTTAATAACCTTTTATAAGGAACAACAAAATATATTTTTTTGGCGTATCACATGTACGCGATTAATGACATATTCATGTAACCACACAATAATATTTATTCTCTTTATTTTACTCAAACCTCCCTTAGAAGTGAGTTGTGTGGTATTCATCTAATCATGCATTGCATGTCTTTATTCATTACTTTTATCATATATATTGCCACATTCACCTTTAGGAATGAGTCTGCATTCTCAATGCTTATCACAAGTTATATTCTTTTCAAGGAATGGATCATAATCGGCGGCGTGCTTTATTATTTTTCATATCAATTTGATGGTAACCATTGCCTTCACATTTTGAAAGACTATTTTGAGAACCCTTATTGTTCTCTTTTTATAATCATAGTGATGATTATTATTATTTTGATCTTTGGAATGCCCATGTTCATTGTTCAACCACTTGTCTTTATTTAGACTTATTATGCGTCGCTACCACGTTCACTTCAATAATGGAACAAATCAAGTGGGACAATATTCATGCATTTTCATGAAAAATATATTATTTTTCTTTAGTTATCATTATATCACCAATATGGTATAGTGAGACTCAAACTCAATGTCTTACCAATATAAATGCATGTTAGGCCATAATGAATTGGGACTCAAACCCAACTCTTATCATCATGGAACATCAGGACTTGATCCTGATGTCTTACCCTCATGGTGCATTGCGACTTGGACTCATTGAAGTTGATATCATTAATAGCAAAGGATAAAAGTAATTTCAAATACGAAGAAAATGCTTACCTATTGAGTTAACTCTTCATAATATCATTTGGATATAATTCTCAACAATAGACTTTCGTTTACTCAAATCAGCTAAGTAATTAGTGCCAAACAGATATATGAAAATACAAAATAATATTAAAAATTCACATGTGGTCTTTATTGCAATAAGCCTACTTCAAGATGAAAGTGATATGACCAGAACATTAAGAAAAAATTATGTATCAAACAGAATAATAGTACTACTAGTTACCATGCACTTTTGTGAAAACTAAGTATTATGCTCTCTAGAAAAATAAAAAGATATAGCAAAACCTTTAAGTCAATCAGGGAATCACAAAAAATAGTGGACAAATCTCTGTCTACTATCTACTGCTATATGTTTTCCATATAGAAATGATTCAGCATATTAATTTGATAAGAACTATCATCAATAAAAAATTTGGTGTAGTACATACTTCTTGTACTAATATTTTATCTTATCAAAATAAAATAGTTACGATTATTATTATTATTATTATTATTATTATTATTATTATACTATATTTGACAGTAAACTAATGTATAATCATTATACTGGGCATACTAAAATCGTATTATAAGGTAAAACCATAAGCATACATAATAAAATATAATTTTAATTTTGTAGATTATTTAGTATACCGCATGCCACCTATTATTTAGTTCATGAAAATTTAACAAGGTGACATCTGTAGAACCCACATAAATACTAATTTCCTAATAACTAGACCATTGCTTATTTTAAATAGTGGTACAAACTTATCTGATTTAAAACTCGGACTTATTGATGTAGCAGAAAGACGTGTCTATAACACTACATATCTTTCTAAATAAAATCTGGATAGTTTTGACAATAGATCATCGAGATATATCTTACTAGAAGTGGAATTCAACCTTGAGGTTAGAGACTTCATGCAGATAACGTGTTATAAAATATAGCTCAAAGTAACAATATAAAACAAGAAAAATAAGCTAAGAGATATAGAGAGAAAAAGAAGAGAAATTCTTATTTCTTTTTCAATTGTGTGTATTTTTCTATCTATTACAAGGCATTTATATAGACATGAAAAGTGAAGAAAAATATGTCATTGAATATGTCATTAAGCATTTGAGAAGATCATGGAGGAAGAGTAGATATCCACCATAATTTTATTTTTCTTATAACAACTAACACTTATTCATCTTTTCACATTACTCCAAGCGAACTAATCCCAGTACCATCATTTTTGTAGCCGTTTGTACGTAAAAATTATAATTTTTTGAAGAAAGTAGTATTTGAAGTTAAGTTGAAAGCCTGAAAATATTATTTGAAATTATGTTTAGACATATATTCACTTGTAAAAATGTTACAGTTTTATAACTAGGGAAACAAAAATTTCTTTTTTCAAAGACTTATAAAATTTGACGGACAAACACATTTTTTTAAAAAACTCGAAAAAAGAAAAAAAAATATAAACAAACGGGTCCTTAGTTTCCTTTTTTTCCACAAAAAAATATTAGTTGACCAAAAAATAAAACAAGGAAGAAAAAGTATCTAAAGACTAAGCAAAAGAATTCTGAAAATCAAAAGAAACAAAAGGAAGAGAAAAATTAGCTTTGTTAGTACGCGAGAAGTGTGGGTTCAAAGGTTTGGTCCGAGTCAGAAAAACTCATCAAATCTGCTGTTAACAAATTAGGGCTTCGAAAACCCTACCTCTTTATATCCTTTCTTTCGGAGAAGACGAGAAAAAAATGGTGTTCTACTTCAAAGCCCGACCCGAATCCGGTGACTACACCATCTTTATGGGTCTTGATAAGTACGAAAATGAAGAACTCATCAAATATGGCTTCCCTGAAGACATCTGGTAACGACCCCTTTCTTGATTTTATTTTTGCTGTTTTGGGTATAATTGACTACTTTTTTTGGGTTCAAAATTAGACCTTTTTTGTTGTTTTGGGTAGAATTGAGTGCATATTTTGGTGCAATCAGACCTTTTTAGTTGTTTTGGGTAAAATTGAGTACATTTTTGGTGCAAGATTAGACCTATTTGGCTCTCACCAGTAACAACCATTTTTCTTCAATTCTCTCTCTCTTTTTTGTTTGAGTACATATAATGTTGGAAGAATAGACCTTTTGTACTAATTAAAGAAAATGAGCTCTTGTTTGTACTTACAGAAGTTGTGTTTAGAGGAATTTTGGGTTGTGTGGTATGTGGTTTGACTTTGTGCTATGTGCTGTTAAGTTCATATTCTTAAATTGCCATTATACTGGTTTGTTGTTCTTGATTTCCTCCTTTGGCCGTTCATTATTTAGTATTTCAGCTGATCAAGTAAGAGTATTTCTTTTTACCTTTTCTGAGTCTTAGTTTTCATCTTGCAAAAAGTTTTGCTAATACTCTTTTCCTATATAAACTTGTATATGCATAGACAGGTCACATTGGTTGTGTGTACATTTGAGCTTCACTTTGTTTCTTAAATTCAGTTGTGATAGCTATAGTTGAGTGCATATGTTGTTGCAAATTGAGAAAGAGCAAGCAAAGAAGAGGTCTCTCTCATTATTTAGTGTTTTACAAATATCTTAATATATGAACTGGGACGTAGTGAGAGACATAGATTCTTCCTAAGTAGTATCAATAATTTCTTGTATTTTGAATCTGGGACACAAGTGCAGAATCTACAGATTCTCAACAGAATGCTTGCAGACTACAGAATGTACCAGATTCTGTTTCAATTCTTCGCTGATTCTTAATATTCCCCTATAGTTGGACGAATGATTATTTGAATTGACAAAACTAGTATCATTAATTCTAACTCAATCTTTTGTTTGATGAAGTGGTAATCTGTTTGTATGTGTATCGTTTTAAACACATGATTTGAAGCAAGTATGCAGTGTGCTTGATTGTCAAAAGTCAGTTTTATTTGTGCATTCCCTCCTTATTCAAACTCATAAAGAATCTGCTTCAACCACATTAATTTACGTATGACAAAAACTTTGGCTTGATGCTGTTCTTCTGCGTTGATTGGCCGCACATCTTATTTTTATTTTCGGAGATATTAAATTACCTCCACGTTCTCAAAAAAGATATTAAATTACCTCCAATTAGAACATGAAAATTTTGAAGTAGATTGTTTTTGGAAGGAGAGCCTTCCTTGCGTGCATCAGAGTAACCAACGATCTGCGTTTGTCCGATACACCATGTTCTAGAGATATGTTAACATATCTTAGAATGAGAATTATTGCATTTCAAGTCTGAAGGAGCTTGTAGGAACTATAGTAGTAAGTAACCGCACTAATAGTGATTGAATGATTGTGGAATAATTGAGTTTACCATACTTTGTCATGAAAGAAATTTGAGTGTACGGCATACCAAAAAGAAATTTATGCTCCTTTTTCTTAAATACATGTTTTTCCATGCCTATGGGGTGAATGTTGTGTCTTAGTGTCCCTTGCCTTTTTTCTGTTATCACTCCATGAGTTATCTGGATTGAGAAAGTGAATTCTGTTAGCCCCATGCTACATTTGGATACACAAAAGCTGTTCTTTCGATTTATATATACCTCGACTAATCTATCGGTTACCTACTATCTCCATTAGCAAGGCACCAAGTAATTCTATCCCATCAAGATAGGCCAAATGAAAGTAGATATCTTTAACTAACCTTCATGAGTTATCTGGATTAAGAAAGTGAATTCTTTTGGCCCCATGTTACGTTTGGATACTCAAAAGTTGTTCTTTCGGTTTATGTATACCTCGACTAATCTATCGGTTACTTAGTATTTCCATCAACACGGTACCGAGTAACTCTATCCATCAAGATTAGGCCAACTGAAAGTAGATATCTTTAACTAACCTTTTCCTTTTCATTCCTGATAATGTTGGAGGTTATGAAAATGTGGGCACAGGTTATTATAGTTGCTTAATCTTTAAAAAAGATTAGATTGCTGTAGAGCACATGTTAATATATGTGGACAATCTAGATGATTAACTTATGTGTATCTTTTTAAATTCTTTGATACATCCGTTAATTTTATTTGACGATGTTTACTATGATGTAGGTTCCATGTGGATAAAATGTCATCAGCCCATGTTTACTTGAGATTGAACAAAGGTCAGACGTTTGATGATATACCTGAAGGTGTATTGGAAGATTGCGCTCAACTTGTCAAGGCTAATTCTATCCAAGGTAAATATTCCTGTCCCGAAAAATGTAGCAAATAATTCATAGGTTGATGTCTTTATATCTCCCGTCCCACCAAATCAAATTAAAAAAAGAATGGGAAAAGAAGCGTCATTACACCTGCCTTAGGATCTTTGACGGAACATGGTTTTCTGGTCAAGTCTAATCCTTTTTTGAGGATACGAGGGGATGCTTCATCTAAAGCAGTTTATTTTATATCTTCTTGTTGAAAGTTAAAAAGATTAATGAGGTTATATCTTGGAATATGTCTAGATGTACGTGACCTAAAACCCTTACATAAGGACATATCTTTGTATGTTGTTATTAGATTAAGCAAGCTCTCTTTTTACACATGATATCATGACCCACAATCCTATGCGATTTTGGTAAAAACTTAAGTAGCTTTTGCCTAAGGCTGCATGCCTGGTCAAAACTTTTCCTTCTTTCTTAAGTCTTGTATTGTCTATTTTAGTTCCACTGCACCTCATCTTCTCTTCAATAGCCTGTTGTCATTTTTCTTCCAATAGTTCTTCCCCGGACCCTGCGTAAACGCTGGATGCTTTGTGCACAGGGCTGCCCTTTTAGTTTGGCTTTAGCTCTCTTTCTCGTCTCTTCCGGCTAGTATTCAATCTTACCCGTCATTATTCATGTCATAGTAAAGTTAGCTCGTTCCACATTTAACATTAGCATCTAGTCAGCTGACACGTCTCCAGTCTAGTGAAATGTCTACATTGTTTTGTGTCACATCACTCTCTGAGCCACGCTTAGTTAGCGGTATGTCGCCTGTCTAGTGACACATATTCAATTAGTGTCCTATCGGCCCCATGTCACCATGCAGCGGTACTCTCTAGTCAACCTCTTTGTAATGTGACAGCATCATCATTGTTCAGCCAGCTCCTCAGATCCATGTCTTCATCCGTAACACCTTACTTTCTAATCAATGCTCCTTCAGCGTCACATCCTCCCGTAGTGATATGTCACTTTCAAATTTAGATATGTGAAACTGTTTCGCCACCTTGAGTTTGAGGCAGCATGTTGATAGTAAAGGATTAATAAAGCTGTTCTTAGATCACAATGTCTTAAGATCATGGAATTTAAGTAGGAAAGTAGAATATTACCTATTTGTTCTTGTTAAATAAAAGAATATTACCTATGTGACAGGAAAATATCTACTGTAGTATTTGTTAAGAGTGGAAAATAACTATTTATCATATTTAAGTAACCTTGGAGGAGTTTTCCTCGTACAATTGTCACTAAATTAAATCAATAAGAAGTTCCTTCTCCCATTTACAATGGGAGGTATACCTGAGAATCACATGTTATGGCTGTTCATGTGCAGTGGAGGATATTTTAAACTTTGGCATGTTTGGCTAGTTTAGTTGACCCTTTCTAAGCGCGGAGTTTGAAGCAAGCTTTCTGTGGAAGTGAACAGCTGCCAAATGTGTTGTTTAACTGTNTATATATATATATATATAAGCAAATCTTTGAAGTTATAAGTTGATTTCTTATAATAAAGAAAAAGACTAATAGAACCTAAAAAGAAAAAGAGAAAGAACAAAAAAAAAAGCTTTAAAATACCAATAAAAAAAGTAAGTAGTAGCTTTAAAATAAAGGAAGAAGGGAACAAGAAACCCTAGCAGCTGGAGCAATTGAACAGCAAAGATGGAGAAGGAGAAAAAAGAGAAGAAAGAAAAAGAAGAAAAGGAGAAGGAGAAAAAATATGTGGAGCCAATTTCTAACCCCAGCAGCGACGGAATGGAGCAGATCAGCAGATGAAGTCTCCTGTCTCAGCAAAATAATCTTCAAGTTTCTTCCTTCTTATTTGTTTTTTTCAAAAAAGGTTCCCTACTTTCTTTTTTCTTCTAAAAACCCGACTCCTTTTTTTTTAACACAAATCTTAAAAAAAAATTAAAACTATCGCTTTCTCTGCTTCTCGCTTTTGGGATAGAAGCGACTGTGTCATTGAAGTCGCTTCACCTCACACTCTAGAAGCGTTACCTGCTCGCTTCGCCTTGCTTCATCTCTTTAAGCGGTGAAGCGACTGCTTTTCACAACAATGGTTTAAAGAATCTCGAAAGGCTGCTATTTGAGAGCTTGTCGTTACCCTTGATCTTGTCTTTTTATTTAAATAACACCATCTTGGCCGATATGACCCCATTTTGGCAGGAAATAAGGTAAACAATGTTGATGTTGTTTATACTCCATGGCAAAACCTTAAGAAGACGGCTTCGATGGATGTTGGACAAGTTAGTTTCCACAACCCAAAAATGGTGAGCATATTCATGCATTTAATGTGTCTGTGCTTTAACTGTTGTCTTCTGATTTTGAAATTTCGATACTTTCCGTAGTTGTGGTTGTTCTTTTTTTTTTTTCCTTTTTTAATGGATGTGAAAGTTAATTCATGTCATGATTTTTTAATAGGTTCGTACTGTGAAGGTTGAGAAGCGAATAAATGAAATAGTCAATAGATTAAACCGTACAAAAGTGGAGAGGAAGCCCGATTTAAAAGGTAAGTTGCTCCTTGCTAAGTTTGTTTGCTGGGGAAAAAATAGTAACTCCATTCTACTTCTATGTATGACACTTCCCATTTCTTAGGATTTCTCAATATGTCTGCATGGATTTAAGCTTCATTATTTCAAATGATATGTGGAATATTTGGAGGGAAAAAAATCACAAGTGTTTTGTTTTACAATCTGGTTCATTATTTCAACTTCAGCTTGAAATAGAGAATTTGAAAATTTGGTTTGAGGAGTATTTCCACTATGAAAACTTCAACTTTATTTACCAAGTGAATTCATGTCCAATCACAAATGAACCATAGACCCTTCTCCAACTTCAACTTCAAGTACTCTTTTTCTGAAAACTAGTCTTACGTTACGCGCGTTGCGCGTGTTCACTATCTCAATGAGTAAAAAACTTGTTTTTAAAAATGTTGATATTATATTAAATATTATGTTTGAGTTATAAAATAAAGTATATATTTCTGAAAATGATGAATATTGATCCTATATTTATCACTCAATAAAAAAATAAACTACTCCAATAGAAGTTCTCAATCTTCAGTCAATATATTCAATTGAAATTTATTCTTGTTATAATTTTATTAGATATAGATTAGATATAGATTAGTGCTTTCCATGTGTTCTGTTAGTCATTCTAAAACTTACATAAATATTTCTCTCATCTTTGCAATTTTGAAATTCATTAGGTAATTAAAGTATTTTTAGATACAATTTATTTATCTTACTTTAATAAATAGTAATGGTTAAATATATTTTTAATTTTTCACTACAGGTAAAATATTATTGTATAATCTAGTCGTTAAAAACTGAGCAAACTCATTCTAAATCATAAAACAAATTTGAATATATAAACCTTTTTTAATGATTCTTGACGTAAATAAAGAATAGACAAAACACTGAATCTAGAAATCTTCTTACAATTTTGCAATAAAAACTTGGAAAGAACTTAAATTTACGGGGGAGATGAATCCTTGGCAACAATAATATGGAATGTACTATAGTTATACTAAATAATTCAAACAAGGAAAAAAATTATATAATGTGAAATTTAATTGATTTTAAAGTTCGATATATTACGACTTCCTACTTAATTCAAATAAGAAATAACTTTTAAAGAAAATTTTTAATTGATTTTAAAGTCCTAATATTAGTCCACAAATAGATTTCTTCTAAAATAAAAATAAAAAAATCTTCTAAAAACAAAGCAGAACGGCAATCCCTAATTATCAAACAAACCAATCTAAAATAATGAAATAAGAATTCCAATGGATACATGTCAAAATATAAAAAAAAGATGATCTTTTAGCTAATGATCTCCACTGATACCACTATTTTAGTTTACATGTGTGGCTATAATCTATTCCTATTTAGATTAGGACTTTGAAAAGTATAACAACCGGAAGGGTATTTTTAGTTAATTTAGGCAAAGGATTTATATGAATAGAATTTACTCGATTTAAATTCCTAAATATTAGGAGTTTTTACCTAATTTCAATACGGAAATGATTTAATTCATAGGCCTAAACATTAGAGAAATTAATTAAATGACTATTTTGTTTAGTGTGAAATTAATTTTTGAAGGGTAAAAAAGGCGAACGACATTTCAGTTATGGTCTTTGTGCTTTTAATATAGTATATATATAGATTAATGAAATAAGAATTCCAATGGATACATGTCAAAATATAAAAGAAAGATGATCTTTTAGCTAATGATCTCCACTGATACCACTATTTTCGTTTACATGTGTGGCTATAATCTATTCCTATTTAGATTAGGACTTTTAAAAGTATAACAACCGGAAGGGTATTTTTAGTTAATTTAGGCAAAGGATTTATATGAATAGAATTTACTCGATTTAAATTCCTAAATATTAGGAGTTTTTACCTAATTTCAATATGGAAATGATTTAATTCATAGGCTTAAATATTAGAGAAATTAATTAAATGACTATTTTGTTTAGTGTGAAATTAATTTTTGAAGGGTAAAAAAGGTGAACTACATTTCAATAATGGTATTCGTGCTTTTAATATAGTATAGATTCAAGCAATGTTGCCCAAACGCCTTAGGCATTAGTATTTGAACTCTGATCGTCCTCGTCAAATTTGCTTGTCAATCTATCAAAGTTAAACTTTTATGACTCCTGCTAGTTAAGCTGGGTTATGTACAGTGGAATGTAGGGAGTAAACACATAATCTTCTTATTAAAGGAAGTAAATAAAGTTTCTCTATAGTAGTTTTCGCAATTACCCCTTCCTCCTTTTGACTTAGTGTAGATATTTATCTTGTGAAACAGTTCTGAAGTAATGGTCCCTCTTTTTTGTGTTTTCAGCTGAGCGGGAGGCCGTCAATGCAGCTGAAAGGGCAGAGAGGAAGCAGCAGCTTAGAGAGAAAGTAAGATTTATCTTTTCTTGGAAAAATATGCCTAGCGTTGAATATGAAAATTGGATACTTTATTGTGTTAGGAATGATATTTTAACATTTCTGGGAAAATAAGATATTAGTGGGAAAACATTCACAGAAATAGAGGCCCTTACCCAGGCCGGCTGACCTTCAAACCTGGGACGTGGCACCCTGTTGAACATGTGTAAACTGACGTTTTAAATTTGTGGAACTGAATGGGCTAAAAATTGATGTTGCCTAGTTCATAAGATGTTGAAATTGGGATAAGATGTAACATGTAAGGGCTAGACTTGGTTGCTGGTGGTTATATTTTCCCACAACGGTCCATAATTATAGCCTATCTTCGCACATCATTTATATTCTATAATTCGTTTCACTGGGTCTTCCTAGACTAATATGGTGCTCTGGATTAAATTGGTCAACTTGATACAAACACTGATGTTTACCATTAGGTGTAGAATGTGAAAAGACGGGAAAAAGTAGTAACAATTTTAGAGCCTTCTGCTTTTTAGGATCTTGTGCTTCAGCTAGCTTCTTTACTTCTTGCGTAGCTTTTCCTGCTACTGTACTTTCTCACGTTTATCTTCTTTTATCTATTTAATATAATGCATTCTAAAGCTCATTTCTTTTCTATTTCGAATGACCAGAAACGACGAGAGGAGATGGACAGGCTTGAAAAGGAGAGACAGGCTGAGATGAGGAGCTACAAAAATTTGATGGTTGCTGATAAGATGACATCAAACAAAGATATCGCATCAACAAACAAATCCCTGCAAGAGCTGGAGGAAGACTTCATGTGAACGCAAAATCAAGTGGACTTATTCGTTCCAATTGATGCCTTGTTTAGAAAAAATTGCTAAATGAGAAGCTGCTTATGAATGCAGAGAGAGGGTAGGAGAAAAAGGAAGAAGGGGATGGGGCATGGGGTGAGGTAATCCTTTATATTGTTGTGTGTTCTTTAGAAAGAGTTGTGCTCCTTATTAAAAGTTGATCATATTGATCTTTGCAAGGCCTGAACCTCTTTGTTAATAAGGTTATAGGAGACTATGGGTTGGAGTTCCATGAGAAGCTTACTTTGTAAAACCAACGTCAAATTTTAATGATGAAGTAAAAGATGACTTGTTATGATGAGGAGCTTTTTGTTTATTTGCTTTAACAAAAAACTAAATATTGAATGCAGCTTCTTACAAGTCAACATGCATTTTTGGTCTTTTAGCTGGTTCATCTTGGAAAGGGATGTTACAAAACCTAAGAGCCAAATGTTGGAATGGTTAATGATAGAATCATCAGAAATGATATGATCCTTTATGTTTAACATTCATTCTCTGTGCTGCCATTCATTTGAAAGAAAATAACTGTTAGGTATCCTTCACTTGGTTAACTGGTTGAACAATTTTTAGTGTCAAAGGCTTAAGTAACAAATTATCAAGTGAAGTTACTCCTTTCTTCCACAAATTATGACATATACTTTCCCATGCAACAGCTATGTTGTCTATTTGCAGAAAATATGCTCTGATCTATGTTTGATGATAAAGCTCAGGTTTAACTGTTAAGTATTGTTCCTTCTGGTTCAATCTTTTGAGCCTCATGGTTTTATCTCCTTGAGCTTTAACTCAAAAGGCGACTCAACAATTAAATTTTTTATCCACCTAGACAACCTTCTCAGTGAATCCCCTTTCGAGTTAACCTTCAACAGTTCTTGGGTTGCTGCAATCTTATTCTTGACCTTTACAACTTCTAATTCTTTTTATTTTTCTACCAAATTGATTCTCAACCTCGTAGAGATAGTTTTAAATGTTTTTAGGTACATCGTTTTTTTGTTTACCCGTAAAACGATACAGTTAAATTTGTAACGTGGTTTATAGACAAGTGAATCAATTTGACCCTAAAAACGATAAAGCGATAAGACTTAAATTAAGATTTAACGATTGAAATTAAAGAAAATAACAATCCTGATTTCGAGCTCAGCCTTTCCGAGAGCAAAAGTGAAAATAAAGATAAAGCAATGATGAAAGCTTTAAAATTGAGAGCTAACTAATAAGGTATGAGAGCAAAATGGTGTATCTTTTGTGTACAGAGTGTTTCGTGTCCCTACAATGGCTGTTAACCCAACTATTTATAGTTGTACCTAGGAAAACAGGATCCTAGGATCAAGCTCCTCTTTAAATGTTAATAAAAGGGCCATTGATGAGTGTGTAACGGCATGCCTTGAATGTCAATATTCTCTGTAACAGCTGCTCATTTAACGCCAGCAAATATTCCCTCATTGAATGTTGTTCGATGGCAAATCTTTGACCTCCTATCGCCGACTACGTTCCCTTCAAAATTCATCTGGTACCGGTCACTTGCCACATTCAGTACTAATTATTTCCCAACTCGTCTTTTGTCTATCTTCGTTTCCACGCATCATGTTACCATTCGACCATCCGTTATAAACTAATTTTACCCCATACAGATAGTCTCCCTACTTTCCGGTGACATATCTTAGTGTTACCGGGAAGTTGGTAAAGATTCTTTTCTTAGCAGAAAAATTCTCGAACAGTCTCTGACGCCTGAAAGGACGCACATCTTCTCGCATTTAATACTCCGAACACGTGTTGACCCACGATTCAGCAAATAATTTCGCCGGTTTTTGAGGTAATCATGACCATGATTTTGGCCATCTATAACTTCTCTGCTATTCATCATTTTTACTTCTTCACTTTTACAACTTTCATAAGTTTTTCTTCTTCTCTGCATTTGCTTGGAAACCTTTCATATCTTTCAATTTTCTCAGCAAGAATTTCACTAACCTTTTGTTACCATGGCTTCTTACACTGCTCTCTTTGGAAACACTGATCTTCTCTTCGGGGGAGGCCCAAAGAAAAACAAGGAGAAGGAGGTCAATGTCGATTATGAACCTCCCATTGTTAGCACCATCATACCACATCATCTCAGCACTGCGAACGACTTTCAAGAGAAGGCTCCTTCTGCATCTTCACGGACTTGGCCAGTTAGTAGGTATCCCTCCTCCATTCGCCCTTCTAGTATCCCAACTGTGAAAGAGGATTGCAACTGCCCCAATCTTGAAATCCTCGCCCTGGATATGGTAGAACGGGTTACCTTCTCCAAGGAAGGATTTATGTATGTCTATACGTATCCCTTTACATTGGGTCCATTCTCCCCGGGGTCGAGTGAAGGGCTTGACCGGATAATTTTGGAGTTTTGCCACTAATATCAGGTCTCCTTAACACAAGTAGGCCCGTCTATATGGCGGACGGTGGCCTGCCTTCGCCAACTGTGCACGGAGACCTGGGAAACCCTAACCCTTGCATACGTAATGAACCTTTACTCTCCCAAAATTTTTCGTGGGGGAGTAATAAACTTTAGCAAGCGTGGTCACCACACTCTTCTCACCAACGTAGACGACGATAACGATCGTGGATGGATGGAATGATTCGTCGTCATTGCTACTAGGGACATCATCCCGATCACAACTCCAACTTTTCCCGAGTCATGGAATCGTTTTCGTAAGTTTTGAGTCAATCACTTCCTTTTCCCGTGAAAAGATCATCTTCGACTTATCTGATTTTCCATTTTCTTCATTTCAGCTACCCGCTGGGAACCTTTAAGGGTTCAAGGCCTGGACTAATAGGTTTAGAAAATTCTGAAAATTACAACTCCAGAATCCCGACGGTGGAAAGAGATGGCCCCCAAATATGGGTGGAAGGCCAAGCATCATGGTAACCTTTCTTTCTTTTACCCTTGCTCGAGCATAAGAAATCTTCATGAACAAATTGTTAACTCTATTATTGGCCCGATACAAGACTTCCGAGGGGCTCTGTCACCTGTCCCGAGGTCGACGCCTTAGTTGACCCCGAGGATGCCGGGAGAGTGTTGAAAAATGCCATTGCCCAGAGTAGAGCTCGTGGATCTGCCCGAGCCTCCGGTGAGGGTATCTCCTCTCGGAGTCCCCAACCTAAGAGCAAGAAACCAAAGAAAAGATGCTCTTCCTCGGCTGGGACTCAAGAGAATAGGATAAAGAAAACGCCATCTGAGCAGGCCACAGTGTCCTCGTCGATGAAGGGGAAGCGAGTGATGAAGAGGGTCCCCTTCAAAGGAGAAAAGAATCTTCATTAGCTCAACCAGAAGCTCAGCCGGGGAAGCTTCAAACCCCGACGTCAAATGAAACTCAGGCGCTTTGGGGTGAGATAGACCTGGTCAAAAATGTTGATTCTCACTTTTCGGCCCTAGTTGTTGTCTTCGGTCCAAGGAGCTCGGGCCCTGAGCCTTTTCTGCCCCCAACCATTGAGCCAATAACAACCAACACCGTTTATGCCGCAACTGCTTCTCATCCTTCCATACCAACAACTTCATGCCCATCGACACCAGCTTCTACTTTGCCATTAGCACTAACTGCATCTCCTCCACCGACATCAGCTGATCAGGAGATGGATGCTTCTCCCCCTCGGTCTCCCGACCACGAGAACTTGGGGAGCAACTATGCTATTCCTTCTCAAGACACCCAAGGGAGGTAAAGCACCACTCTTTAAATTTCACGGGATTGTCACGTCATCTCAAGGCCGGTGGAGCTCTCCAATTATATGAAGCCACTGGCTTCGGCAAAAGATTGGAAGAAAATGTGGTCCCTTTCTGGGGAGTGTATGATAAACAATGCCATGCATAATTCGGTGCAGGTATCGTACTTGTCTTACCGTATTTTCTTTTCTGCTTACATGTTGCAACGATAATCCTAATTTCAACCTTCTCTTTTTAGGTCAACCTTCTCGTTTCTGAGGGCCTACATAGGTTGATCCTTGATAAACAATGACTTGCTTTCGAGCATGATCAACTCTTAGCTGAAAGGAACCAGCTTGTCGCGCGCCTCTCGGTGCTGGAGGCAAAAACTGTTGAGATGGGCGAGCTCGAGGCTCGGTTACAGCAAAGTGAGCAAGACAAAATGGCTCACAAATAAGAAGCTGCCCAATTACATGAAAAGCTTCAAGAAGCTAAGGCTAAGTGGGTCAAACTTTACGATGCTGCCATCGCCGCTGCCGAGCGCGAGTCTGCCTTTGAGGAGCAAAACAATAACTTGAAGGTCCGCTTATGCTCCAAAACGGAGGAGGCCAATGTTGTCGAGGAGAAGAGGGCCCGGATGGATGAGAGGCTTAAGAGGGCCATGGACCAAAACCGCCTTCCCTCAATTACAAATGTCGAGCTCGACGTCCGTCTCCGCGCCATGAAGTCCGAAAGAGAAGAGCTTCAGGTCAAAATCGAAAAACTTCAGGCCAAATTCCAAGAACAAGAGGATTCCCTCGTCTTCGAGAAGACCTATGCCATACACCATATGAAGAGAAAGACCTTGGAGGAGGCCAAAGCGAGCATCGACAACATAGACGATTGTATTGCCCAGGACCGGGAACTGGAGTTATCTTATTGTCAAAGTCTTCTTGCTCGGCCCGCTACGACTGACTCCTCGAGTACTAGTTTTGAGTAATCGGGTACCGAAGGGGAGACCGAAGAAGATGAAGGTTCTAAACTGGTAGTGAATCCGCCTTCATCTACCGGGGTAAACATAGATACATTTCTCCCTTCGGGTTCTGGTGGCAATGATGCATAACTTCTTTTCTTCTTTTTTTTCTTTCTATTTTTTGTACTTTGTAAATATACCAAACCTTTCATCGAGTTTGGCATTTGATAAACAAAGAATTTTTGCTTAGGTGTTGTGCAAAAATATTCTTTTATGTTTAGTCAATTAAAGCTTCAGGTATATTTTTTCATTTGATAGCTTTTGATTCTGAGCATAAACTCTTCCAGAATGTACCTTTTACTATGAGGGTTTCATAAGAGAGGACCCTTATGTTTACAGTGCTCTTGAAGAGGACATTTCTTGTTAATTCCGGTACAAGCATTTGAAGTTTTTTAATTTTCAAATGATAAAGTTAGCTCATCATTTGGACAAGAAATAATATAAAAATAAAATGACTTTATTTTTTTCCTTCTATCTTTAAAAGTACATAAGCATTCGTTTAGTAAAGTAAATAAAACTGCTGACAGTACATGTGGCTAACTTGTACAACTTATTTCTATAGGGCTGATCACGCAGTCCCCGGCCCTGATGAGATATTATTGATCTCGATTCTAGTAGTCTC